GATCGGCACTCATTAGTACAGTTACTTAGAGCAGTTTGCTTGAGCAACATAGTATAATAAGATTGAGAATTTGAGTGCATGTCCCCAAAAGCCACTAAATCATAAAGAGTTTTGAAAATAGTTCCCCCAAAGAAATGTAGAAGTATTTTTGACTGCTCTGACACATGATACTTGTCAGCATGGCGGTGAAAACAGCAGCATTCAGGACTCAATGGGTGAAAGGAACGGTGGCGAAACTCTTTTGCTACACTCAGACATGGCAGTGTGGTCGGCACATTCCTTTTCGTGGGAAGATGTTTTTAAGTCACGTGGCTTCCAAGTGGCAGTGATTTCATCTTCTAATTAAGATCACGTTTGTGAATAAAAGCAGAGGAAAGAAGCCAGGGTAAGTGGCAAGTCTTTGTTTTGTGGTCATTCCTGGGGTGGTGTGTGAGACTCATTAAGGGTTTGCTTCTGACGTATTGATAGGGAAAGAGAGACGAGGTTTTCCCATATTTAATAGCGTCCCTGTTGTTGCAGGTGAGCCATAATTTACCCCTAACCGCTGATGAACAGTTATATTACTTGCCTTCTAGAAGCTTTGCCTATGTGATACATGAACCTTATAATTTTAAGCCATCAGGCTTTTCAGTTATAGGCTAAAATCTTTAAAGGAAGGTGTTCTAAATACTTTCAGAAGAGAATTATGAAATGGGAAAAAAGAAGAAAGATGAAAAGATTTTAGTACCTCTGCAGGTATTATTATTTATTTTATTTTTTTTTTTTTGAGACAAGAGTCTCACTATGTCGCCCTGGTTAGAGTGCCGTACCATCGCAACTCACAGCAAACTCTTGGGCTTAAGCAATTCTCTTGCCTCAGCCTCCCAAGTAGCTGGGACTACAAGTACCTGCCACAACACCCAGCTATTTTTTTGTTGTAGTTGTTGTTGTTTGGCAGGCCCGGGCTGGATTCGAACCCACCCGCTAGCTGAGCTACAGGCGCCAAGTCCTGTGCAGGTATTGTTAATCAGAACCAAAGCAGAGAAAAGGAAAAAAACAATTACATTAGTTCTGTCCATGCTGAAACAGATTTACAGAGGGATTTTGTTTTTTTGGTTTGTCATGGACCATGGAAATAGGTACATTGATAACTAAGTTTTAACTAGAAAAGAATCATTTAATGAAATGTTTGTTCCATTTTTAGGCTGTATTAATAGTTTAACACTATATATAAAAACGAGTAGAATAGGACACAGGAAAAATGTGCCTACTGTCAATAATTCTTTACGGTTAAAAATCAGCAGAGTGTGTAATAGAAAAACTAAATCCAGGTTTGCTCAAAGTACATTGAAGGCCAGCATTATCATCTTCAAGTTGAATAAACATAATTAACACTTGCTATTTCAACAGAGTCACCACAGGAGACCAAATTGGAAAAAAAAAACCTACTTACTTTGCAAAAGTTTGTGTGTATATGTGTACAGACCCCTATACACACACTTCATGGGAACAGCTTCCAAATGGAATTTTATCTCATTATAGATGAATGAGAATAATGTACATTGCATTTGGGGGATATGGATTCATTGGTTATTTGAGAAATATTACATTGAAACCCTCAGTGATCCAATAGTCAATATGAAAAGAATACTAGAAATGGAGTTCTATTTTAGGTTGTAGATGTTGTGAAAAACACTTTCCAAATGAATTAAAATTTTTCTCGGCTCGGCGCCTGTGGCTCAAGCGGCTAAGGCGCCAGCCACATACACCTAAGGTGGCGGGTTCGAATCCCCAGCCCGGGCCCGCCAAACAACAATGACAACTACAACCAAAAAATAGCCGGGCGTTGTGGTGGGTGCCTGTGGTCCCAGCTACTTGGGAGGCGGAGGCAGGAGACTCGCTTGAGCCCAGGAGTTGGAGGTTGCTGTGAGCGTGATGCCATGGCACTCTACCCAGGGGGACAGCTTGAGGCTCTGTCTCAAAAAAAAAAAAAAATTTTTTTTTTTCTCTTAGCCTTTTTCACAGTGTACGAGAATAGAATCTATTGGTGGCTTTATAAAGTCTCTCCTTTGTTTCCGTTTAAAATGTTTTAATAAATAGATAAAGGAATATAGAACACTCTGTGTGCTTGTGCGTGTACACACATTGCATGTCTGTGTCCGTGTAACTGAAGTTTCAGAGAGGTAGGTTACTGTTTTGAGGACGATATGGATTAGATTGAGAAGCTAGAGGCAGGAAGGAGAGAAGAAAAAGGGCCAGGCAGGACAGCAGATTGATGGCTAAGGTTAAGGGGAAGAAGAGAGAGTTAACCAGAGGCCCCCCAGTAACTCCCCACAGCTCTAGTTGCCCTCCCTCTCTCCAGCTACATTCTCGCTGCCCTACACCACTAGGCTAAAACATTAGAGTTTCAGGACTAGAAATAGACTTAAACATGAGTGAGTCCCCTTACAGGGTTTCCAGATGAGTGAACCAAACCCAGAAGCAGCAAAGTGCTTTGCTAGTCAGCGTGAAAAGCAATACCAGCATCAAAGACTCCTGGTTTCCAGTTAACGGTAATTTTGGGGGCCACATTCTAGGAGAATACTAAGAGAAATTAAATCAAGAACCACTTTGTGATTCATCTCTTCACTGTAGGAAGGGATATTGCACCTGCCACCGAGGCAGAGGTTGAGAAAGGTGCTTAAACAAACAGGGATCCTTTGTCTGAAAGAGAGCAAAATGTTACCCAAGCAGAGGAATCATCCAACACATATTATGTGAGGTTCCCCCTTGACCTTTTCAGAGGTAATTTTAGAAGTCTTCATCCGACAAAACCAATCCCTTTCCAGATGGTGCCTTCCACCCCTAATGCTCCTGGACAATCAAATCCCTTGTCTCTGATATGCTGCTGCCCTTCTTTTATGTATGTCTCAAGCTCAAGCTCTTCAGATTGACTGTGAGTCTTTGGCCTCAGGCTGCCCTTGATGTCACAGGTCTTTCTGGTTTCATTTATGTATGCACTGGGGAATTTTGCTTTTCCGGTCTTTGAAGCTGTATTAATGCAGCTTGACCTTCTAAGCCATGCAAAACTCTTCCAGACCATTTTAAACCCCAAAGCTTCAATAGGAGACACTCACAGAAAAGGCAAAAATGTTTTGTTAGCTTTATTTACAATTCTCTGTTCCAAAATTTAATGTATAGACATACCTTTTGACTGTACCAAATGCAACTATTCTGAAGAGAGGCATTTTGCTACATGTAGGAAAGGTTGTTAATGAGCACCATATGTATACTGTCAACAAATGTATTATTATACATGGGGTTTTCTATTATGAAACATCATTCATTAAATATTTATTGAACACCTACGGTGGGACAGACACAGTTGGTTAGCCCTGGGGATTAAGCAGTGAAAAAAGCAGAAACGTTCATCTCCTCATGGAGCTTACATAATTATTATCTGCAAAATTACACCTCGTTCCAGAATAGCAAATACTTCTGGTCTCTCAATTCTCTTTTGGTCTACTTACAAATCTGTTTTTAACAAATGTAGGCTTTTTATTAAAATATAACATGAACACAGAGAAGTAAACAAATCACACGGACAGCTCAGAAAATTTTCACCACGTGAACACGTCCATGAAACCTGAAGCCAGGTCAAGAAACAGAACATTAACAGCTCCGAGAAGAACCTCTTTTTAAAACATTTTCCAGTTGTTAACCTTCCCATTGTAAGTGCTTCTCTGACTGCTGACACCATAGATTAGTTTTGCCTTGTTCGGGACTTTATAGAAATGGAATCATATGATGTATGGTCTGTGTCCGCCTTCATTTGCTCAATAAAGGTATTACATTCAACTGAGTTGTAGGGCGGACATGAGCTCATTCATTCTCCCTGCTGTATAGTATTCCACTCTGTAAGTATATTTTAATTCATTTATCCATTCTATTGTTAAAGACATTTGGGCTATTTCCAATGTGGGCTATTATCAACCGTTTGTGATTAAGATCCTTGTACATGTGTTTAGGTGAATGTTTCCATTGAGTGAGTTGGAATATTGATTGGGTCATAGGTTGTGGATATATTCACCCAGACTACATACTGCCAAAAAGTTCTCCACAGTGTTTACACCAAGGGATAGTCCCACCAGCAGTGTATGAAAATTCTGGTTACTCCACAACCAAGCTTAGTGTCATGTGCTTTTTCATTTTCGTTTCATGTGCATTATTAGTTTAAAAAAAGTAGAATAGAACCACTCAGCCTTCATGATAAATAATGAGACATCATAATGTTAATAGCAACAATCCTAATCCCTTGGATTTTGGTCCACGCCAATAATTCAAGGTGGTATTATATTGAATTACAAACTCTGCTTAACGTATGATGGGATCAAAGCCACTGTTTACAATGGAAAATCTTGCAAAATTTTGCCTTTCTTTCATTTGGTGTTGTGGTTTTCTCAAGCCAGCCATGGCAGACTACCTTTTGGGGTTTTTTTGTAAGAAAAGATAAAAAATATGTAGAGGACGCTTTTTTGAATTTCAAAATGGAAACGGCTTTCTTGAGTCCTGGGGGAAGAAACCTATATTTGGATGTGGGATAATCTACCATATCAGATGGAAGACTGGAAGTAAGAAAGTAGGAGCAGCTGTTGGCCAGGAAAATGGTAACATTACACCATATTTGAGAAATGCCCCTAGGGCAGCGGTTCTCAACCTGTGGGTCGCCACCCCTTTCACAGGGGTCACCTAAATACATCCTGCATATCAGATATTTACATTACGATTCATAACAGTAGCAAAGTTACAGTTATGAAGTAGCAATGAAAATAATTTTATGGTTGGAGGTCACCACATGAGAGTCGTGGCATTAGGAAGGTTGAGAACCCCTGAAGCAGTCCTCCCCAGCCGTAATGACACTTCCCTAGGAAGAACTATAAATATAATGGATCCGGGCCCAAGCCTATTACCAAAGAGCCCTACTCAAGTAAAGAAGAGCCTTATTATTAGAAAAACATTAATTCTTTTTTTTTTCTTTTCAGTCAAAAATTTACACACGAACACCAACTCTGTATTTGGATTTTAAAATGGATGGAGGCTCGAAACACACTCAGCCTATTCCCAGAGGTATGATGGGTTCTGGGATTTAGTAATCATGTCAGGGAAAAAAAAAAAAAAAAACAACCAAGGAGCTGCTTTCTCTAGAATGTTCTTGTTTCTGAATCTCAGCACAAAGTCCTATGAACTTTGTTTATGTTTAATTTTGTTTAAATTAACGAATACTGCTGGGGCCTTTCAAGTTATGAAAGTCAGGAGGAATTCATGGAATGTTAGGGTCAGTCCCTCTGGGCCACATCCTTCCATTTAAGGTGTGAACACTAAGGCCACAGAAAGACTAGGCCAAACTAGGGTGAATAAAATACACCTGTCTCCTGACTGCCTGGGTCCTATTGATTCACTGTGTTCCCGGAGGCCAATTCGGACTTGTGTTACTTATAAATGAGTACATCTCTGATTGAGATACAGGTTTTGCTCGATATAGGTATTGTTATGAAAGCATTGCCTTTAAGGTGGTATTTGAACCTAAACAATAATTACAAAATTCCAAAGTATTTAATGTCAAATTTATTTTTAAAAATGGCTGTTGCCAAGGTGATTAGGTACCAATCATCTATTTCTCCTTTGATCTTCATTATTTCCTTCCTTTTACTTATTTGGGGTTCATTATGGCTATTTCTAAGTATAGAAAGAGTTTTAGATTCATTCACTTAAACATAGGCCTACACTATGTGTCATTTTTAGAATAATGGGTATGAGAGTGCATGTGCTTTAACCTTTCAGAACAGTGCTTTTTTATTTTACTCTTGACGGCTTCCTTACAATCCTTTTTCCTCCTATATATTCAAGATCTAGGCTAGATCTCAGATCTATTCTTGAATTATATCTTGCTGTATTTTCTCCACACTTCTTTTTCTATACTAACATATATGTGCATTGAAATATATACATACATAAGGTTATTTTATCATCATTTTACTAAAATGGAATAATACTATAAATTCTTTCTGCATCTTATTTATTTGACTGAACAATGCCTCATTCAGATCCTTCCCAATCTACTTGCATGGCTCCCTTTAACAGGGATATTTTATATATTGCTGGATTTACTGTGGTGTATTTAGACATTTCCTATTTCTTTTTAAAAACATTTTTTCGAGGGAGAGATACAAAATCAGGTAGCTTGTGTGCACATTTAACATCGAGTCTCTGTAAGCCTACTTAAAACAAGTCTGTTATGAACACAGTTAGGAAGCAAAAGAACTTGTCTCTTCCAAGACATCTTTTCCAGGTATAGTGTGTTCTCTCCTCCTCCTGTATTCTCCCTCCTCTCTCTCTCTCTGTCTCTGTCTCTCTCTCTTATACACACACACTCACAATCATCCATACTTCCATTGCATTAGGTGACAAATCCAAAGTTTGAGGTTTCCCCGTCTAATGCCAAACAGACAATTCAAATATTACAAAGCACCTATTATTTGCAGATCTGATAGTTCTGGTTGTCTCTAATCAGACATTCTGGATGGTAAAATTATCCTATGTAAATTTTATTATGAAGTCATTGGAATCAAGGTTGTTCTTTGTCTTTTTCTTAATCACCTTTCCAGGTCAAACTCCATCATCAAATCCAAGGACTCTCTAAATTCGTTTTATTTGAGTGCTTTGTTGCATCGAATATCCTGTGAAATGTGGGTGCCTTTGACTGGCTGCTGAACGTGTTTTGTTTGTATCTTGACTGTGTTGTTACTCATGGTAAAGGGATTTGACATGGACGTCTGGGTTATGTTTGGCTTTTAGCATAAGCTTTGTGGTCTAACTAATTTGATGTTGACTTGGTTGTATTGTTACCAGACTAATTGGATAGAGATGGAAGCATACACTGCTACCATCACAGCCCTGATACTGAGAAAATGCATATGTTCCAAGACAAATCCAGTTAAGGGAGACTGGAAGCATTTCTCATGAATCACACCAAGTTTTATCTGAATTCCTTCCCATAAATAGTATTAGAATCGATTTTTACCATCTCTTTATTTCCTTCAGGCTAGGCACGTTTTTGCTGGGTTGTGCTAATCTTGTAGAAAACAGATGTTTCATGCAGTGATTTGGAAGGCAGTTGATATCAGGAATTGAGTTGGACGATGCATCACTTTAAAAGAATCCAATTTGTTGAGTCTCTGACAGTACCAGATTCCTTTCACATTGGCCACACATTTTTTATATTAGCTCTTGGCTAAAATAAGAGTAAGTAGGATTTTTTGTGGTGACTTTTACCATCCTCTTACGAGGCAATTTGATTTTCCTTGCTATAAACTGATTTGCAGATAACACTGTTATCATCCATTGTGAAAGACATAAACCTGTATTTCTAAGAAAATATTGATCTTTTCTAAGATATCTATGCCTTCTGGTCCTTATGCCCCCTTGTCTTCTGATTGACTGTATCAATGTTTGGTTCTCAGCAGCCCCTCTGTTTATTCTCCCCATCCTCCTTTACAACACGTCTGCTTCTTGATACTGCAAAGCATGTTCTGGAATGTTGAAAACAGAGAAATATTATAATATGGGAAAAACTTGATTAGGGTGAGCTTTCTTTGCTTTCCTCACCTCTTAACTTTCCTTTGCAGTATATGTAGATCAGTAAACAGTTTCTTTAGATAACATCTAGTCTATCCCTCTGTGGTACTCCAAAGATGTCAACACTATCTGAACCTGTGAATATGTTATGTTACCTGGCAAAAAGGACTTTGAAAATATGGCTACATTAAGGCCCTTGAGATGGGGAGATTAGCCTAGATAATCCAAGTGGGTCCCCTGTCATCACAAGAGACTTCACTGTGTAAGGGAGGGATTCCGGGGAGTCAGTGAGACAGTAGAAGCAGAGGTCAGAGTGATGTGATTGCTGGTTTCAAAAATGGAAGGGACCACAAGCCAAGGACTAGGGGCAGCCTCCAAAGTTGAAGAAGGCAAGGGAAATAATTCCCTCCTAGAGTATCCTGAAGGAACACAGTCATGCTGATACTTTTATTTTAGACCATGAGGCCCATTTTTGGGCTTCTGACCCCCAGAATTATAAGATTATAAATTTTTATTGTTTTAAGGAACTAAGTTTTAGGATAATTTGTTATAGCAACAGTAAAAAGCTGAAACCCCCTCTTAAATATTGTCCATATATTTTTGTTTCTGTGTTTACTTTCAAGGGAAAGAAGCTGTTATCCTCCTCAATTAAAAAGTACATTTTCATGCCATGCATACTATAGCTGCATAGTAAATCACATTAGTGGACATGTAAATAAGTCTTATGGTTTTAATTTTCTATATGCTACATAACACTACCCCAAACTGAATGCCTTAAAACAACATGTATTATCTCAAAGGGTCTAGCTGTGTCCTCTAGCACAGGGACTATTACAAGGAAGGGATCAAGGTATCAGCCAGAGCTGCAGTTGGGAACCATGTGCTTCCAAGCTCACAATCATGTGCTTATTGGCAGCATTCAGTTGCCTAGAGTCTGCTCTCTGTTCCTTGCCATGTGGGCCTCTCCATAGCATGGCTCACAACATGGCTGGCTTCATCAGAGCCTGCAGATGAGGGGGCAAGAGAAGATGAGCAAGGTGGAAGCCAGAGTCTTGATGTAACCTAATCTCAGAAGTGACATTCCATCACTCTTGGGATATTCTTCAGGTTAGAAGCAAGCCATGAGGCACAGCCTACATTCAGAGAGGGAATCACACAGAGCAATACTAGGAGGCAAGGTCATGTGAGTGTTTTAGTCTTCCACCCCACTTATGATCTTGGTTGGAAGTATCATATGTTTTTCCATGTGGTCAATGACTCAGAAACAAGTAGTGATTTTTATCCCTCTTATTTGTGATTTTTTTTTCAATTATTTGAGTAAGCCTAGAAAAATACTGGTGAGTTTTCCTTAGACTCATTCCTAAATGCCTTTTCATAGTCATTTTCTACCTTTTTTGTTGAGACAGAGTCTCAGTCTGTTGCCTGGGTTAGTGTTGTGGCATCATTGCTCACAGCAACCTCAAACTCTTGGGTTCAAGTGATCCTCTTGCCTCAGCTTCCCTAATACCTAGGACTGCAGGGGCCCACCATGACACCCAGCTATTTAGTAGATACAGGGTCTTTCTCTTGCTCAGGCTGATCTCAAACTCCTAAGTTCAGGCAGTCTACCCACTTGGCCTCTCAGAGTACTAGGATTATGGGCATGAGCCACTGCGCCTGGCCTACTTTTAAGGCGAATGCCTGAAACATAGATGTTTCATAGATGAAACAAAATGATCCCAAATAAAAACCTAGTTAAGCAATAGAGAGATGTAAGCTTTTGTCAAATGTGGAAACAATTTTTTAATACCTTTAAACCATGAAGAGAGAATTCATTATATAAATTGTGATACACCCTTATAATGGAATGCTATGCAGTTTTCCCCAAGGATGAGTTACTTCTCTATGCTTCTCTATGCTTTGATTTGGAAAGGTATCCAAAATAGAACATTGAGTTTGTTCTAGTTTTTAAGGTAATAATGTATAGTGCATTAAAAAATCCTGAAAGCACAAATACCAAATTTTGAACAATATTTGTATCAGGGAAGATATGAAGATTGCAGAAAGATTTTCAGTGTAGATGTTCCACACTGTCACACTTTTAAAGTATTTTAAAATTAATATTATTCTTCTGTAACTGGAAAAATAAAGCTATTGTGCTTTAGAAAAAGAAATGTAAACAATTTTTTGATGGCAACTTTATTTTTAAAAGCAGAGAAGAAAGGAGTTTTGTTGTAGAGCATGATTATAAATCGGGCTAAATAGGAAGAGGAAAACTCGGCATTCATTAGAAAACAGAAAAAGTGCTCCAGTAGAGTCAGCCTATCCCTAGAAGACTTGAATCTTGAATTGGGCTGTAAATCGTTGCTGTGTATTTTCAGCATCTACCACAAACCTCCCTTCCCAAAGATGTACAATTTGAACACCCTGCCTGTGCCTTATTCATCTTTGTATCTCTAACCCAATTCATGCTCTTGGGAGATGTTCAATGAATGATGGGAGACCAAGCTTGGAAGACTAAGCAAGCGGGTAACTAGGGAGAAAAAGAATGAGTGAGCTGTGAATAAATAACATTACTTTTAGAGGGCTTAACTCATTCTAGTAAAATCTCAGAGAGGAAAAACTGAAGTAGGAGGATGAAAATATAGTAGAACCTCCATAGTTGACCACCTTCCTACATGGACCACCTCCTTAAGATAAGCTAATAACACCACATGCACATATCAGTACAGTAGGCCTAGTTCCTTATGTTGGCCACCTCTGTGTGTTGATCAGGGTGTTATAGTCCCTTGGGTGGTCAACTTACAGAGGCCTTACTATATATCCTCTGGCTTCCACCCATGTGTGTTTGTTTTGCCATCCTCCAGACTTTCTTAATGATACTCAATTTATGTTAAGTTTTATCAATCAGAGCTTTTCTTTTCTGCCCAGTTGGGTGTTCCAGCCCACACACCATCATATTTATGTCCTTAGAGGAATATATTATCCTCTTTGGTCTTCTATGCGTGTGTTTGTTTACTACATGCATTCCAATGGGCCCTGTCCTTCCAGCCTTCAACTCTGTCCCATGTTCCCTGTCTAGATCTCCCTTTTCACTGAAGTACATGGAGGGATATCTTAGTTACATTTTGAGCCGTTTCTGGATTCATGTCTCTCAATGGAAACACAGCATCTCTTCCGAGCCATGGGTACACTACATTAACATCCATGAAAATCAAGTGCTGTTGCTGAGACTGCAAATGGCAGGTAGTCAGGGCTTCTGAGCACTTGGCCCTACAAATCATGGTAGGAATGTGGTGAATTCTATATGACTTTTCTCAGGAAAGGGTATACATTTGAAAAGTTGTGTGAGCAGTTCTAGGGAGTTCACAGACCATCTGAAACTCATTTATACTCCAAAGATTATGCATCCCTGCATCCCTGGAACTGATGCATAATCCGTTTTAGAATAGATAAAAAGGAATGAGTTCATTAGAAACTGGAATGCAGATAAGTACAAAAATAGCATATTTCTAGCATCATCATCACATTTCAAACAACCTGGAGGCACAACAAACTGAAGATAAGGCCAGACTGGAGCGTTGCAGTTAATAGAATGATATTAGAATAGGAAGGCACAGTTTTCTTGTTAATGCAGATATACAGCCAAGTGAATTGTACACTCTCTATTTTGGGTGGTTCTTAAACATTTGGGTCCAAGTCATTTAGGTTTAGGGGCATGAGAGAGAACATCTGCGAGTGTGAGTGTATATTGTAAATAGTTTACAGAACTTAAATCTTAAAATGTATATGTAAAGGAAAGGTCTATATATGTTCCCTTTGACATTGTGGACACTAACATTTTAATGTTGCTGGTTTACCTTTCCAGGATGGACCAGTTTTATTTACACGCTCTCCGGAGATGTATACATCGGTAAGTTATGGGTATATCACTTTGGGTTCAATTGCAGTTTAATTTAAACTACTGAAATGCAAGCTGAAACCACTTTATGTAATTGACTACTGTGCCTCCTTCCCTCCCACACCAACACAGGTACGACCAGGGCAGGGTGCCTCTCAGCTTACAGAATGTTCAATAAGGCAGGATATTATGAAACCCAATCCTGATATAGCCATTTCATTGTGGCCGGTCCCCAGACAGAAGGTCCAGACACAGTTATGTATGTTGACAGCTTGCTGGGGGAATAGGAATCCGGCCATCTCCTGGGAGGTGGTGGTGGAAGGAGGGGAATTTGCAGTGCCAGTTGCCTCTGAGAAACCTCCAAGTTGTTATTTTCCTATACTGAGGGGTTGTACATATGTTAACCTGTGGAGTCTAGTCAAGAAAAGATGTCTGAAACCCAACCAAGTCTCAGTGTATAGATGAGGAATGTGAAATCTACAGAAAGTTGTTTACTTGGCCAGAGTTCTGCATTTGGGACCAGAACCCAGGGCTCCCCAATCCCATTCCCCACTTTGCACCCCATCCTCTTTGGTGACAGTGCAGGGACCACACCACCTAACTTGTCTTTTTGGTCTGAATTCCTCAGCCAACCCAATAGCAGGAGGGGACTTGTAGAGCAGGCTGGCTCCTGCCTGCATCTACTCCCACCTTTCCCATCCTCCCCACCTTTCCCATCTTCCTAAAAGCAGCCATGGGTTCCAGGAAGAGGCTTTCTGTGGGGTTGGCAGCAGATGCTAGTGGTACCCCACCCACCACACCTTGGAGCCTTACTTCCTGCTCACTGACCAATTCTAATCTAACTGCCAGTATCTGCTCGCTTTGCTTGAAGGCTTTCTCTGAAACCAGTCAGGGCAGGCTGAAAGCACTGGGTGATTAACATTCCCAGAAGTAACCTGGGCCCGCAGAGGCCTGTGTGCAAAGCCTTTTCCTAGTTTCCCAGCAGGGTCATGCTGGCCACAATGGGGGTTTGCTCTATGACACGCCCTTCATGGTCTGTCTGCTCTTTTCTGTCCAACTCTCCTGACTTCTGGGTTGTTTTTTCCTGGGAGCAGGTTAAGCACTGAAGTTCCCGTTTCCCTTCGTCTTGTTGGAACAGAGTTGGTCTAGTTAGGAGTGGGCTGACGGGATGTCTCAGCCCCCCCGAGGGGGCTTCTTCCCATTCTGGGTTTTCAGCACCAAAATGAGAGGTTAAGGATGGAAAATAAGAGGTTATTCCGAGACATGAATGAAAGGAAGTGGAGTTCAGGTTCTGCGTGGGCAACGTGGCCTTTATTCACTTGGATGCGGATGCGAGCAGGCTGAGTTCGAAAAAGGAGTCAGCAAGTGGGTTAAGGCAGGGTGGGATTATGAGAGTTGGGGACTGGGGATTGGCACACTCGTGCCTTCCTGGTTGGGATGGTTCTATTTGGGCAGGTCCCCACATTCAGCTATATTACCAAGAATCATTCCTGAGCCCCCTGGTGGTGCCATCACTGACCTTCCTAGGGCCCTGACATGGCCACCTCATTGGACAGTACACTCCCAGCTCCAGACAGCTGGCTTGGTGATAAAATCTTTTCAGGACAGGAAAGTCACATCTGGAACTCTTTAAACTATTCCTTATATTCTCTAAAAAGGCTGTTCAGTTGCTTGAAATTATTCTTCTGTAAAATGACAGTCATATGAACTGATGTATTTTGAATTTATTCCTAATACAGTATAAGTGGTTTCAGTTCCAGTTTCACTGAATAACATCTCAATTATGGGTCAGAAGCAAAATTCATTTAATTTCAACACTCAGGAAAGTATGAAAAAATCTAGCAGGAGTGTCATAAGTCCATGTGCACACACATATTAAAAATTAAGCCCTATTAACCATCTGGAAGAAATGAAGCATCATTTGTTTTTATGATCTTCTGAAAACCCCAAGAATCACATAGTACTTTATAAAAATAGAGACAAAAGATGTTTTTATGGTGGTAGCGCATCTGATTTATGATTTCAAGAGCAACAAAATAATCTGCACAAATGGAAAGTAATAAAGAAAGCACGTGGACTTGAAGGTGGCAAGGATACCAGAAATGTTTGTGCAAAGTGAGAAAAACCAGGGAGAAAGGAAACCATAGCCAATATTTCCAGCTTTGCAGGCCATACAGACTCGGTTGCAACTCGGTGTAGGACAACAGCAGCCACAAACAACACATAAACAAATGGGGTGGCTATTCCGAGAAAACTTTACTCATGGCCACTGAAGTCACTCAAATGTGAACTTCGTGGATTTTTCATGTGTCGTGAAATGCTACTTTTAACTTTTTCCAGCCATTTAACAATGAAAGTAAAAACCTTTCTTAGCCTGTGAGCTCTACAAAAGCTCACGATTGATTTTGGTTTGAATGGTATTATAGGGGATGAAGGGAAGAAAAAATAACAAGTCATCTTCAAAACCTGTTTTAAGCAGTACTTACAGCCTTGTTTCCCGACAGACCTTTAGTCTGAGAATTTAACAAGTGAAAAGGTCTGTAATTCTTAGGGTAAGAATGACTCACACATCCACTTGTTTTTCTCCATGCGAGACAGGATTTTCCTGAGTCATCTCTTGCCACTGGCTTGGTTCCTCCTGGTGCCCATGGGCCACAGTGCAACACATCTAGAAGGAACTAGGGTTGTAGCCTCAGAGCAAAGTTGCATCTGTCCAGAATCAACTGGACCTTGGAGAGAGTCCAGCTCCCAAAACTGGTCTCTTGGGACGCTGCTTTAACCAGGGAGTCACTGGTCAAATGACCTCATTTGAATTGTACCTATTTCTCTTGTTCCTGTCTCCCCTCTGACAGAGGAGTCAATGAGAACAAAAGGGCAAGAACAAATCAGCAGGGGGAAAAATGACAAAATCCAAATAGCTACTTAATATGTACTGACAGAGAAACTCTATGGAGAAAATCTGAAAATGCTTTCTGGCCTTACTGCCTTAATTTCATCTTGCTTATAAAATTAAGATGGCACCAGCCAACCACTGACGGCAGGAAGTGATAAGCAAGGAATTGTCTTTTTGAAAAAGTCATGTGCCTCTGTTCTGTTGAGATTGATGATCTATAGACATATAGATATGTATACTTAGTACATCAGACTGGGATAAATAAGCTACAGTTTGGGTTGAGGAATAATCTGGGGTGACTGCATAAAGTGGAAATTTAGAAGGTGTGTTGAAATGTTAGTTGATAGAAGAAGTACTTCAAAGACAGGCATTGGTAAATTTAGTTTGACTATAAACTTTTGGAGTTTTGAATGGTAGAAAATACTGGACACGTAACGATTAATACTGTTTGTCAAGGTTAGTCAGATATTTCAAAGTTCAAGGTAAGTGTGCTGAAGCCATGTGGTTATCCTCTAACGATGCCTTGGGGAAAAGGGAGAATTAACTAAGCTCAAATAAGACTAAGTAGAGTCAGCACTTTCTTATTCAGAGAAAATATTCATTTGAGATTGATTAGAAAGTATTCATTTTATACTCTTCAGGAATCTTGTTAATTTTTGTTACATCTGCTTTTTTTCAACAATGGAGAAACTTCTAAGCTGACGGTTGAATAGTAGCTTTAAAAATTGTGCTGCCGAGAGACAATCTTTGACAATAATTTTTTTCCTGAGGCAAAAAGTCCTTTGACCACCCCTCAGCTGGAATCTGTGCAGCACATGATAAAAAGAGAAATCAAAAGGAAAGAAAAACTACGTGGCCAGAAAACCAATAGATTCTGCAGATACTAATACTAAATCTCTTCCCTGCAGCTGTGAGGGAAATTACTTTACACATTAATGCAGAGATAAAAGGATGAAAGAGTTTAAGTCCTATACCCTTGAAGCTTGGTACAGTTTCTCTGCTTGAATGCCAGTCCCCTAGAAGGACCAATATCAAGTATACTGTTGGCGCTTAGAAAATGTATTTAGAAATCTGCAATCTAAAAACGTTTATCTGTGGTTATTGAAATGAACTGGCTTAGGACAGCAGTAAAATGTTTCCCATTTATTTAAATAATTTTTCATGTTTAGTTTGTGCTCATCCTTTGGCTCTGCTCTGGGTGGTACTGAGTTTTACACGGTTTCTGATCTTACAATAAAGAGAGGAAAATACATCATGTGCCCCAGAAGGCCTCTTAATTGCCCTCCACTGACCCAACCAACTAACTGGATTGGCCAGTAGTGGCAAATACCTTGAGGGAGGTGCCTGAAACCAAGATGATCAGCTCCTCCCTGGTCGGCCTGCCCACAGCTCAGGTGTGGTGAACGTAAAGGCAACTGTGTTTGTTCGCATCTCTGTATGCCAGATGCACCAATAATTGTGATTATGTAATTTAATTAAATGCTATGTAAATTAACGAAGTAACTGTGAAAAGAGAGTCGGTATTTCTAGAACAAGAAGTCAAATGCTTTGTAAAAATGAATTGCTAAGGAAAATGCCTTTGGGCTCCTATGGGAGAGTAAATGATTAGGAGGAACGGTGATATCTAGAAGACTTGTGGTGGCACCCTATGGGTATGCTTTAAAAAGAAAGACAATGCTTCAGTCCAATTAACAGACCCTTCTTACCTGCATTTTTTAAAAAATTCGCGAACAAATGCACGTTTATGCTTTAAGATAAAATGTTTGAGGTAGTTTTTCTCTTTCAATTAACAATCTCAATTGCATCAGGTAAGAAGGCTTCAACTGTGTATATAAAATCAGTTGATTTGAAGATCTTTGCTAGAAGTCTCAGAAGGTGTGAAACAGAGTAAGTGGGTCAGTACTTCTTACAAAGAGAAGAAACGGAAAAAGGAAAGATGGTATGAGCAGGAAAGTTTTACAGCGATTAATCGCACACTGAAGATGCAGCACTGACTTTAAGTTTTAAAGTATTTTGCCCTTTTATCACTACTTAGGCAAAAAAAAAAAATGCAATTAAATTGTTTTCAGTTAAATTTTCTTTAACTGCAGTATTAGATTTAACATTCTTGGCACAGATTCCCAGTGGAAACTATTTATTATCTGATTTGGCTCTATTTATAATTAAAAGTAGTCAGAAATGATAAAATATATTTTCTTTGAGACTTAGTGTAGGTTTAGGAAATAAGCAGATGGGTGAAATGTTATAGAAATGACCTGGAAACCAAGCTAGAAGAAGCCTGTTTTCTGTGACCCTGCTTTGAAGATTTCATATAATAACACAAAGGTTAAAGGTCTACTTACAATTAGTATTAACTAGAACCCTGACTCCAGTGTCTATAAGAAAGGTTTACTTTAGGGTGGACCATTTCAAAAGGCCTCTTCAGTATCAACGCTGTGATTGCAAAGAGAATGGGCAGGAATTCATCCCACATGAAGTTAGAATTAGGGCCCTTTGGGCAAGCTGAACTCTTTGTTCCTATATTAAGATTTCCACCAGTGAACACCACAGTCAAGCAGGCACCCCTGATAGGGGGTACAGAGAAATACCAGTTCAGCATTCTTTTTGAGTGCTGCATCTCATCAGCTCACTCCGTTAAAATACAGTAAAGACATTTATAAACTGTTTTAGTCTATGTATCATGAAACATCGTACATGACAAAGTTAGAGAGGCCAGGAGTGGACCACGTGGGTCATGGGGGTTATACATGAATGAGTTGAAGACATGGCTCCCAGGGGATCACAGTAAAGCACGCTTCATAAAATGCTGCTCTCTTAAAAAATATTACCCCACTCTAAATGAGATTCTTCTTTAATTCTCAGATCTCTCTTTTATTCCTCCATCCCTGTGTAAATGGAAAACTGGTGGAGTTCTATCATTCACTTCTATGATACTCGTTGACCTAAATCTTTGCTGGGGGAGAAACCTTTAGTGTTATGCTGGGGCTGGCTCGTGCCAGCTTGCAGGCACTGATTGTGCACGTCTTCCCTGACCTCACTTTGGTACCCTGATATTAGCCACATTGGAATAATTTACACCATGGAAACTGACACATGCTACAAATGCGTCCCCCCCCATCCTTTAAAGCCAATTTTCAATGATTATGTAGCACACTACTGACTCTGGGACAGAGGTTCTTAATCTTTTTTGTCCCATGGACCCTTTTGACATCTGCCAAGCCATCTCTTCCATATAATGTTTTTAAATTCAGTGAAGTTATTACAGTTTTAAAGGAACAAGTTAATGATACAGCTGTATGTGTGATTCTCTAATGACATTTGGAATACCATGATCTAGCAGCAGGCCCATTCTAAATTCTAAGTAATTATTAATATAAACTATATTATGAATCAGCTACAACACTGTAATATAACATCTATGATTTCCACCAGAGGCAAAGCCATTGGTCCATTTAATACAAGTGTAGGTTGTTGGCTACATTCATGACTGAAGGAAAAGCTACATTTCAATTAGGTGTTAATGAAAATAAGCATGTAATTTATCTCCCATCCAAGTCCACCATGCCCTGAATTCTATCCATAGACCCTTGCGAGCACATTGACACCACATTAAAAACTCCTGCTCTAGGGCAGTGCCTGTGGCTCAAAGGAGTCGGCCCCATTTCATGTTTCCAAGCATCAGAATGAACCCTGCTGTGTCATATCCGTTATCTCCAAAGTGGTAGTGGAAAGGTTAAGTTCTCTAGAAAATATAGGTATAACTGGACTCCAATATGCTGTAAATTCACGAATTATCTTTACATTTACATAATAATTGCTCAAACTATTGTTATCTTTTTTTTTGATTTTTTATTAAATCATATACACATAGATCATGTATACATTAATGCATTTATGGGATACAATGTGCTGATTTCATATAGAATTAGGAACGCTTACATTGCACTGGTTAATAGTTGCCAAATCCTTTAGATTCTTTCTCAACTCTATCTCTCAAATCTATCTCCATCTTTCTATTGCCACTCTCCCAGTTCAGACTGTAATTCATCTTTACTTGTCTTAGACTGTTACAACAAACCCCTAACACGTCATCCTAGCTTCAGTCTTTCCCCTCCCTTCTGTCTGTCTGTCTGTCTCTCTCTCTCTCTCTCTCTCTCTCTCTCTCTCTCACACACACACACACACACACACACACACACACTCCTTGAGGGCTCTTAATTTTATATGGATAAACATGTCTTTCAAGGTTTTCCATGATCTAAAGACAGACTATATTTTGATCATTCTTCCCAGAGGAATGGTAGACTGTTCACTATTTCCCCCAGAAATGCACACACATTACCCTTGCATGATCTGTCCTCTTTTCTAGAATGCCTTTCTTCCCATATTTGCCTTTAATCTTGCAGAGTTCTATTCAAATCTCTCCTCCTCCATAACAAATTCGTGGGGTCTCTAGACCCGAGTGAGCCCCTACCAGCCCTTTTCTTGTATTGCATTGTGCTTATTAATTTATTGTTGCCCCTAAGAGACAATTTCAGTAGTATTGCTTTATGTGTGAGCCTCAGTTTAGAAGGGTTGGAAACTCATATATCCTGAAGACCCCCCCCCACAGCATTTAGAACAGGGTCTTGTTCACAGTTCAATAGCAATGGTTCAGTAACTATCCAACTTACTTATTTTTCAATTAAACTATTCTCGGATTATTTTGTTTGTATAATTTATTTGCCCCCGTGACACTATGAAGTAAGTGTGCCCAAGAAATCTGCTTTGCACATCTTTGTATTTCCCCAGTAGTACTAGGCAATTGTAGGTATTCAATTAATACTTGTTGCGATGAATTAATAATGGCATTTGATAATTTTTCGAAGTGTGCTCAGTTCTTATAAGATTTGTAATTTACCCAAAGAAACACTCTTACGTGCATGGAATGCCGAAGATTTAGCTATCAATTGAACTGTTTGAGCATGACATTAAAAGTAAATGAAATCACAAGGCAGGATTCACGTTCCTGTTCTTTTCAAAATTTAAAACCAGCCAGTTTCAGACGTTAATAATACCAAACATAATCATCCAAGAGAGTTAAGGAAATTGCTATCTGTTATTTTTTGAAATTGAAATGAATATTCTGGTGCTACATCGTTAACCCAGTGTGTAACC